ACGCCCTTGACTTCATCCATCAATAGCCTTGACATTGGAGGTCAATTTTTTTAATTTTTCTCTTTTTTTGCCGTAATTAGCTATTACTTTGTTGTTACAGAATGATTTTTTTTAATTGACTTCATATTAAAACACAACGATTTTAGGGTAAGACCTTAATGTATGTTAAACTTTAACTGACATAGGCTCATTTAGGACCCTGACGTTGAAGGCTTAATTATTCATTATTTAATGTTCACTGATTTTCATACTTGGACAAAACAATATTGTGCACTAGACCTTCTAAAAGTTTGAACTGACCTTGACGTTAAACTTTATATGACTTTGACCATCAAGGTAATTTTTTTTGAATTGTGGTTAAATTGTCATAATTCTTTTTATTTATGTATGGATTTGATTCAACATCAACGTTTGTGACTTAACGGACATTTGAAAAATTTAAATATGACCTTGACCTTTAAATGGCATGGATCTTTTCTTATCATTTTCATTTATTTTTAGAAATGATTCATATTTGAACAAAACAACACTCGGCACACCTATTTAGATAAAAAAGACAAACATTTATCGTTTTATCTTTTATTTTCTTTTCATTGACTTGTTTAAACTGTTTTTTCGTTTGCTTTTAGAAAATATAAAGAAAGTCGAGCGTTGACACCCCCCCCCCCCGGGCAACGGTTCTTGGTTTTTTACCGACTATTCATACGGATTTAAGCCATTTCTCATGATATGACGTTCGAATTTTGCAGTGACATAAAGTGGACGTCACATTATATCTACAATGCATTTTAGCACAATATCACGTAGATCCTTGCGATAATAGAAGGTGACCTATTGTTCGCTAAAATGTTTGATGTATTGCGCCTAAATGTCACCAATGGGGAAGTTTTAACAAAGGAAATAAATAGTTTTACGCATTTCAATCGAATATCGATTCGGCATTACATTTAAAACATAATCAAGATTAAACAAATTAATGACGACTGATTAACAACTTCAAAGTTAAAACAGTGTATTAAGCTATATATCTTCTGGTTGTTTACAAAATTTTTGTTTCAATTTTGAAAAGAAGTTATTCCTAAAAACCTGGGAGAAAGGAAACATAATTTTTTATATTTCCTTTAGAACCGATGGCGAATTGTAAAACGAATGACGGTGGAAAGCTTCATAATATTTGGTGCCGGAGCAGTTTTTTTTCCTTTTCGATTTACGTACAATATTTCTAGGTGTATAGGTACATTTTAGTTTACAAATCTTTTTCAAATTGATCATTATGTAATTGAAACAATATGATTTTACCCATTGCTAAATTTATGAAAATATTTCATTTCATATAGCTTTGTTCCCTTTAATTATGTGTCCGTGTATTTATGATAGGCCCTCGTATGTCAATACTAAACTTTTGAATGTACGTCACTTTATACAAAATTTATATAAAATACTGTCACTGTGACTTTACTCACAGTAAACAAGAATCATTTAAACTAAATGCTTTGTTTCAAACAGATGAGTTTGTTTTAAAATATTTTATGGAAGTTGTTTTTTACAGGATATGAATACTTCAAGCGGCTCTATATCCATTTCTCTTCTATTGTCACATGTGCTCGGCAATATAGGTGTAAATGATTTTACGGTGAAGAAGCGCCGACAGTTATATCACGAGATAGAAGTTGTCAAAGAGATTGGATATATTTTGAAGCAAAAAGCATGTCAAAATGTTATGCGTCGTAGAGTTTTCTGTTTTGGGAGTGCGATCGAAGGTTCCACAACATTGGGTTTAAAATCAGATGTCGATCTTGTGTACGTACGACCATATTGGTATACATTTGAGTCATTCAGATCCTCGAGGTTTCAGTCAGTTTCGAGAAATATTGTTCCTCTTAGCCTTGAGATAATTGATTCAACCTATCCGGGACATTTTTAGACGTCAGTTTTTAAACGCTTTCCCAAAAAATATCCCAAAGGTATTTTAAAAGGGAAAATTTTGAAAGACATATTTTTCTGTCTCACATTTGGGTATCGAAACGTAAAAAGCCAAAATATTCCGAAAACCCCATGAATAATACCAATAATAAAAAATTGTCCGTCCTCGTTTTGCTTGAATACTGACTATGTTCAAGCTATTTTAGTACCATTGCAACTCTCATGGAAAAATGAATGTTTTCACCGTTTCTATTGTTACAATTGGTCAACTGAAACGACCATGCATAAGCTTTTGAAAACAACAAAACTGCTTGTACCAGTGTGTCACCCACTGAGTGATGACGGGAAGTTTGATTGGAGGACTTCATATTCATTTGCAGAAAAAATATTGATTTACAGTTTCAATATCAACCAGCTAAGCTGTCTTGTTGTTTTGAAAATGATAAAGAAAACATTTCTTTGAACCTATTGTGTTCAGGGCGGAGCTTTACTAGTTACCCACTGCAAAACTATTTCTGTTCTTCGACCTATTGCAAAAAACCACACCATCACTATGGAAAGAAGATCGTTTAAGTGACTGCATTTTATGCTGTTTATCTACTTTAAAACATTTTCTTGCAATTGAGGCCGAAAAACATCAGTTATTGACAGAATTTTTGCGACACCCATACGTTTTAATAAACGAATGCAAATACACAGTAAAGAAACAGATTTACACTGGTTTTATATTAACCAAAGGTTTATTATCTTTTATGAACGATGGTAATACAACAGAAAATTATGTAGCCAAGTTATTCTTGCCACATTTTGTTGCCAAACACGCTTCGCTTTTATCCTCTTACAGAATCGAAAAGAAGCAACCCTTATCAGAAGACCTCATTAATCTGTTCAAAATAAGCTTTCTGACAGATGCTACTTCAAACAGACTAAAACTTGCTTCAGTGTTTTGTTGTAATGGTGATCACATCAAAGCACGACTGATTTTAGAAGAATTAGTTGACAAATATTCTGCAATGTTTATGACTATCAACACATGTTTTCAATACATTCAGCCATATTTAATTTCTTGGGATAAAGCTTTTGAAACATAATCCGACGTATTTCCATTCACCGGAAGTAAAAACACATTGAAAGAGTACGCCCACATGCACGTATTGTTAGCTTCTTTGATGATTATTTCAATTTTTCCGGTTCCATGATATATTCAATTCAACTTGAAATCGCTTTGAAACCGGAACTAGTGGAATCATTTGCTAATGTTATGAAGGCATGTATCATCGTAGGAATTTGGAAGGAAGAGGACTTTCTTGAAGGCACATATAGGGCCAGGTGCCACGTTATTCTGCTTAATGCATTGGTAAAAAATTATGACAGGCAGACACAAAAACCCCTAGACATTTTCAGTGGATATCGGTCAATTATGCAGGACAAGAAAAGCTCTCTTCTTGTGTGAAAAACTGTACATTTGTTAGAAAATAAAAGCAACAGGGATATTAAGTTTTATGTAGAAGGTATTCAAAATTCGCTAGTTTGATTTTATTTTGGCGAAAAATTTCACCGACTCCAACAAAATTAGAGCCGTGAAACATCGAGTGACTATAACAGACACAGTTTAATTCAGTGTCCATTATGGACGAGAATCTGTGCAACATACAGCATGTTTCTCCTCAAATCTTGCTTTGAAATAAGCAGTGTTTATTTGCCATGACTTAGAATATTTTAATGAGTCGTCTCAAGGAACCAGAATGAACAACATTATTGAAACAGAAAAATCTTTTTTGGAAGGACACCTTTACAACCGTATCAAGATATATAGAAATGATTCCAATAGAAAATCATTCTTTCGAAAATCATCCCTTATTTTGTAACATAAGCTATAATTTAAGCTATTAATTGGTTCAAAAAGCGTGTATTTAAAATCGCGGTTCGATGCTGGTTTTTATAATATAGAACACCTAATAGCATCTGACGGAAAATTCTTATTATGAATTTATTAATATGTACAATGTTCAGTCTAATATTTCTGTTTTCATCGGTATGATTTTATCAATAAAACATTTGTAAAGAAATATAATCTCTAACATCCCATAGAAAAAGAAATAAGATGGCCAAGACATATCGCTAAACTTTTACGATATCATATTAGTCATAAATGGAGCAGAACCTTTCTGTACTATATAGAAACAAATCAATACCCACAGGTATCGAAAAGGGGCAGAAAAACTAAACCTAGCCAATAGTGAAAATGAATGGACAATTATTTTTTTGAAATGCCTTTTAGAATTTCCAAATGTGCCAAGTTACAATGATCCAAAACAAGAATGAATTTAACATAGAATTATTAGGACCAATCATCTTTTAAACAAAAATAAGTACAACGAAAGTATTTTATGTTTTGTAATAATGATGTTGAAAGCATTGACCCAGCAAACATACCTTTATCGGGCCGATATCGGCTAAATGTCGGAATATCGAAGTCGGCTTTCCGCCGTCGAACCGATATATATCCGATATAGACAAACTTGTTAAAGACAGGATGATATCGTCCGATATAGGTCCAATATACATTTATTTCCTGTTATTCAATTAAATGAGCTTTTTAGTATATTCTTCTCAAATTCATTTCAGCAAGAAATCGATGCTTTTGTATAGAGTAATTAAGTCGTTTTCATAAAAAAACTTCGGTGCTATATCGGCTCCATGTCTGTTGCCGATTTAGTGTATAAGTGATTTGCACAACGTGGTATTTTTCTAGCACACGTGCCACCAGAAGAAGTTTGCGCCAAAACTATAAAAAGTGGAGTTTTTCTCAAATACGATTTTATTTTGGCGAACAATTTCACCGACTCCAACAAAATTAGAGCCGTGAAACATCGAGTGACTATAACAGACACAGTTTAATTCAGTGTCCATTATGGACGAGAATCTGTGCAACATACAACATGTTTCTCCTCAAATCTTGCTTTGAAATAAGCAGTGTTTATTTGCCATGACTTAGAATATTTTAATGAGTCGTCTCAAGGAACCAGAATGAACAACATTATTGAAACAGAAAAATCTTTTTTGGAAGGACACCAGCAAACATACCTTTATCGGGCCGATATCGGCTAAATGTCGGAATATCGAAGTCGGCTTTCCGCCGTCGAACCGATATATATCCGATATAGACAAACTTGTTAAAGACAGGATGATATCGTCCGATATAGGTCCAATATACATTTATTTCCTGTTATTCAATTAAATGAGTTTTTTAGTATATTCTTCTCAAATTCATTTCAGCAAGAAATCGATGCTTTTGTATAGAGTAATTAAGTCGTTTTCATAAAAAAACTTCGGTGCTATATCGGCTCCATGTCTGTTGCCGATTTAGTGTATAAGTGATTTGCACAACGTGGTATTTTTCTAGCACACGTGCCATCAGAAGAAGTTTGCGCCAAAACTATAAAAAGTGGAGTTTTTCTCAAATACTACTGGTAAATTTATAAATTACTTATGCTTTGAATAAATTCATTGTTGTAGTATTCGGTGTCATTGATATTTTGAACGTAGGTTTGGGAATTTCATAATTATCTCGCCGAAAATTATTTTGTAATACATTTTCGCGACTGTTTTTAAATTGTTGCCTGAAATTTAGCGGTTGAGAGAGAATAAACATCAAATTATAATTTTCTTTTTATTTTTATTAAAAGTTATAATTATGATAGAGATGTCAAATGAAAGTTTGAATCAGAAATAATGAAATGTTGATTACTTTATTAAAAGAAATGGATAGTGCCTGCTTGCCTTTTGAAAGGACACTGTTCTTAACATATTAATATGTTGATATATTTTCTTATAGTATAAAGTTTGAAACATAAATGGTTCGTTGCAGGTAAAACATCTGTCTGTGACATGACAAACATACCTGAATCAGAGTGCTGACAACTGAAATAGCTGGTTTTGGAGAAAGAAAATGTCATTTTAGAAGCTAAAGATGACCAATTGATGCAATACAGAGTCCTAGGCAACACTTAGAATGAGTAAGTATATGTTTTTAAGACAAAAAAATCTATGATAACGAAAAAATAATTTTTCAGCTTGAGCTTGTAGAGTTATTATCTCGGATTTACATTACAGTAATATAAATCCGTGTTATTACGTAAAGTTTCATTGTCTTTTTTTACTGATTTATTAACATAAATGTTTAAAAAAATGTTTAATTAAAATATATTCTTTTTATATATGTGTTGAATATAGATTAAGCTTGTATCTTTAGTATACACACACACATATACTTATAAGGTTTCTTTTCAATTTTTGCTCCAGAATGTAGTGATGAAAAAGAGGGCAACAGTCATCGAGCTGAAATTCAATAGCAGGAAATAGCTCATCTGGCAATGGTGGAAATAAAGATCTCTAGAAAACTAAACAATTGAAGAAGTTCATATATATCTAACCACAATTGACACTTGACATTATTAACTCATGTACAAATTACAAAATACTCTTTAACTCTATTCAACATGATAATGTGAAAAAAGTCAGCTATTCTTTTAAAGTTTTACTCAACTGGTAACAACTGGAGTATGAATCAATGTGCAAATTCTAAAATACAGTCACTAAATATATCACAGATAACAGCTTGACACTTTCTAGACAGATTTTAAGTCTACAGGATGTAAAAAAGCAAGGAACAAGTAAGAAAAATGCCATTGAGCTTATTTTATCTAAACAAAAAGTAGTATGAATATAGTAAGGTTGTATTTGCCAGTCACATGACTTGAGTTTTTTTGTTAAAACATTTTCATTTTGACTGATCTTTATAGGGAACATGTAAAGATTAATGTCTAAATTTTTATGTGTGTTAGCAAGGAACAATCGTAAGTTAAACATACATGGTTTTTAAACATTGAAGTATGTATGTGTAAATATATTATGTATATGAATGTTTAATTTTGCTGATGTAATAAAAGGTATTGCAAAATAAATATGTGTTCTGTTATATGTTAAGGAAAGCAAACCAATATACTGTAAGAAATAAAAAAGCTTATTATGAATGAAGGTAAAAAATCGGCTGTAAGTCGGTACCCGATATCGGCATCCGATATCGGCCCGACTTTGAGCCGGGTTGCACATCCGATGTCGAGCCGACTTCGGATGCCGATATCGGGCCGACATCGGTCCTATATGTAATGTTTGCTGGGGAGCAGCCATTTTGGCAATATCACATTGTTAAAAAACTTATAAATGAATTTTTTATGATCAAAGAAAAACTTTTATTATCTTTGAATATAAAAGAAATAATGTTAACTTTAGCTATAATGCTAAAGATGATCCATCTGACGTAAAACACTTATTTTAGTATGTTTTAAAATGTTTATATATCAGTGTAAAATGCTTGATCTTTCTTTGTCATTGATTGGAGCCAAAAACTTTATAACACAAAAGTTCAAATTTGATTAAGTAGCAGCAATCATTAATAACACGTTTATAAGGTTAAATAAAGTTTGGAGACTTTTAGAAAATTTATGTCTTTGTTTAAAAAAATCTAACTGCAACCTGTTTTCCAGCTGAAAAAAATCCTATTTATACACTGAATTTATTGTTTTAAGAAATAGTTCAAACAAAAATAGCATGCTTTTGAAAAACAGGAAATTTTTAATACAATAACAATAAGTATGAGTGTGTATGCATTTGTCGTCCTTGTCTGTTTGTGTTTTTTTGCGGGTGTTTTTTTTCTTATCTATTTTTTTATTTACTAATATTTAATAGCTTTTGTTTCTTTCACTATATTAATTTTCCATTCCGGTACACCCAATTCCTATAGGATTTTTAAAGACTACTATGGGATGTGATCCGACCCACAAATGGTAATGTGACGAAGCGAATGAATGGGGTTACCCCACGTTAGGAAAATACATATTGAAAAAGCATAAGCACTTAACACAAAAAACGAAAGGGATGTGTGGACGCTGCTTTTTGTTGGTCTTGGCAAGAAATGTGATGTTAAAATTTACAGTTTGATGTCCGATACTTTAAATCTTCAATACAAATATATATCGTACTTGCGTCCACATTTATTAAGAGACCTATTTATTAAGCGGCCGTATAAAATCCCTCCCGATGATTTTTACTATATAAGTTAATTCCATTCAACGACTTTTCCACTAAATGTCGGCCAAAATATACGAAATAAGGTTTTAAAGTATCTATTAAACGACCGTCACAAATAAATGTCGTTTAAAAACGAATTAAATATCAATTGCGATCGTTTCAAAATCGGAAACGAAAGATCGTAATGTTTACTGTGTAATTTGTCAGAGCAATAACGTACCACAGCCCTGCATTTGCGCAGTTTTTGTCATGTGCTCAGAGTGACCTCCCTTCCAGAAAATCAAATTGAAAATGACTTCGGAACAAGCGAAGGAAAATGACAGACAGCTAAAAAGACTGAGTAAATCGAATGAGGAAATCGTGTATGGAATTGAGTCTGCAAATGTCATTGTTTGTAGTCGAAAAATAAAACGTGAAACGTAGTGGATTTAACATTACAGAAACATACTTCAGTAAAACCAAACCTTTCATTGCTGATGGTGTACGTGCTAATCTGATGCTTTATAAAATACATGTAGTACCCCCATTAAATATCACTCTTCGAGAAAAAAACCTAGAGCTCTAAGAAAAAACTTATTGAAATCGGGTAGTGTAAAAGCTAGTTGCTGAAAAAATCAAGAAGTTTAAAACTAATTACATGAAAAATTATCTGAACTCTGGCTGATGATTTGAAAGAATGCTCAGCACGATATGTGTATGTACATATTAACAATATAAGACAATAATGCTTTGTTTCATGGTCAAAATGACCTGCTTGATAGTATTATGCGCGTAGATCATATTTGTATACAAATTTAAATTTCTACTAAAAAAACAAAAACAAACACATATTGATGACTTTTGAAAAAGGCATATATGTAATTTTGAAACTATAATACATGCATAATATTGTATAGTTTTTTATTATAAAAAAGATGTTATAGTATCTATGATTTGCAGTATAAAAACGAAACCCGCGAGTCTCGAATTCTCCAGAATTCTTTTGAGAGACCACTTTATTAAGAGACAACTTTTTGGCAGTCACTTAAGTGGTCTCTTAACACAATGTCGACTAGCAGTCATAGGTCTGGTTTTTTTATTATTTTATATCTAGATAAAATAAAGCAAAACAAAAAGTATGACTACTAAAATGAAAACTTGTTTCTCATATGTGTGACTTCTTTATGGAGTCCACTTTTGTTTTTGACAACGGGAGTTATAATATATTGACAAAATGCGGCAGTGATATATCACAAACACGTGTATACTTTTATTATCCTGGTCGCTGCCTAGACATGTTACTGGGCATTCGCAATTTGACTATATTTATAAACTAGCTTATAACTGATACAATTATATCTCATTTTATAAATGAAATTGTACATGAATATATTATTATGATTTTTTAAAAATAATTAATGATTATTTTTTATAATTATTTGATAATATGTTGGTTTCTGCAGAAATAGTTACACATTAAATACTTTTCTGTAATGCATCAATTTTAATTGTTTCTTGCTCACGCTATTTATACCTTTGGAGAAAACGCCTGTTAATTCTAAACTGAATTATCCTCAGTTTTTTCACTGTATAACCGGCCACCGTGTATTGCGATGATCGCGACTGTTTGTCATGTTTACAGTTATTTCAGTTTGGCGTCCTGTAAAAATTTACCGGTAATAAAAGATTAATTTTTATTGATAATTTTAAAAACACATACATAATAACTGAAATCTGGAAATATCATTGTCCATTTTAAAATAAAATGTAAAGGATAGGACTTGCCATTCTAAAATAATGTTTTAAGGGTAAAATTTCTAAAAGAACGTGAAAGATAGTTCTTTCCATTAAAAATTCAAAATGTAAAGGATAGTTCTAAAATTTAAGTGTACATGGTATTTTTATTTTCTACTTAAATTGCTCAGATATTCAAGTCCTGCTTAACAATGATTCCTCCAACAAAACATTTTACCCTGTGTTCAGATTTCATTACATTATCTATCAATTTGATTTGCATAAGAACTGACTTGAGCTTATTTTTGGGGGTCCTGCTGGACTCCTTGCCGCAGTTCCTGGGTTGCTTGGTTGTGTAAGGCTTGCGTCCATTAAACACCGCCGCCCTTCCTTCTTGATGTATTTTGTTTTTCATATTTTACTGCTTAGGCCAAAATAACGAGACCACCAATAACGTGCACAATCCTGTTAGATTACTCATGTAAATATAAAAAAACGCCAAAAATATCCGAACTTATCAGGTACTCTCCGTTAAAAAAGTTCAATAAGAGTCAAATGTATTATGTTCATTGCTATGTTTGAATGATTAAATGTTTATATTTTTTATATTTTATACATATTAATCAAGTATTTATAATTATAATTGCCTACCGACTGCTTAGATAGTGGTAACAGAAATTTAGTTCACTTACCGAAACATGACGGTTTAATTTAGTATCACATATATATTACAGCGTTCTAATTTTAAAGACTGATAACCCCATTGATTGTTGTGTCAAAAGTATTTTCAAATAAGAAAGATAAAACGATTTTGTTCGGATTTTGAGCGTTCATCAGTATTTATCAGTATTTCGCTTTGTACCTTGCAAATTCGTGAATTTATCATACAAATCAAACGTTCTAATTGATAAACTTCTTTTTTAAATTTCCTTTTGATTAAACTTTGATTCTTTCTATAAATAAGAACGTGGTCTATTTGTTTATCTTTATTTGGAAACATTGAACACGATCTGAAAATACAGAAAAGAACAAAACTTAAGACTGAATGTAGAGTAATTATAATATACAAATAATTGGAAGTTTCAATCGGTATATACTGATATAATTGTACTTAATGATTACCTCGAAATAAAGTTAACAATGTCAGTTTCTTTCTTGTCCGGATTTTGGTATTACAAGGAGCGTGCATTCAATAAGGGGAAATCACCCTGTACATACTTAAGACTAAAAGTCGTACTGTGTCGTACAATACCGTACATAAATGTAAATAATCCTATATCTCCCCCAAGTCTTTGGTAACACATTTCACAAAGACTTGAATTAACAATCTGAATTACTCGTATATTTTTGTAAAATTGACTAGAGTAGAAATCAAGTTTGATGAACAACAACAAAAAAATATTTTTTTTTAAAAATTGGTACATATAAAATCACATATGTTAAAGATTTACATTGCATAGTCACCGTGCCACTTTGGCTTCCTAATGTCACGGCAAGAGCGACGGAGAGGTGTTGATGCAGTGTTATTATCTTGTTGGGTTGGGGTATGGAGGGATGGCTGGTGGGACTGTCGGACTACTTGGGACCCTAGCATTGTTGGGAACCTGTGCATTAGTGATGGCCGTTGTAGGGTTA